TGGGCGTTTCTTAAGTAATTCGCCTTCGATCAACGTGTAATTCAATGATCGTAGCTTTACATTTCTATTGTTTTTTTCACTTGATTCTTTTAAGAACTTNGCTTGTGCATGGCGACGTTCTATAGGCCCACAAAGCTTGATTCAAACACTCGTGCCAATCCCTGGCGTTGTCGCTTATCATCTTTCTTACAATGTTTTTCAGAATCTTGTTAGAGGATTCGGACTGACCATTGGATTGAGCGTAATAAGGCGTGGAATTTACCAACTTGACCCCAAATTTGTTCAAAAATTCCTTCACTTGATCTCCATTCAAGGAAGTCTCATGATCCACCATCAGGGTTTGGGGATCCCAAACCTATAAATGATATGATCGCGAATGAACTTTATAACACTCTTCTGAGATATCTCTTTTAGAGGTATTGCCTCTACCCACTTGGTGAAGAAATCGGTTACCACTATAATGAACGTATGTCGCTTGGACGATGGTGGATAAAATTTTCCTATTAAGTCTATCGCCCAACCCCTAAACGGTCATGGCTTAACGATACGTGTCATTTCTCTAGCTGGCGCTCTTTGGATTGGTCCATGTATTTGACATGCCAAACATCATTTTGCATATTGGACACACATTTCTCCCATCTTAGGCCAAAAATATCCATTCCTAATAATTAACCACCTCATCATTTGGCTAACTTGGTGGGCTCCACAAATTCTTTCATGTGTTTCAGCCATAATTACCTTAGTTTCTTGTAAGCTTACACATTTCAACAACACCCCATCTGGGCGTTTCTTAAGTAATTCGCCTTCGATCAACGTGTAATTCAATGATCGTAGCTTTACATTTCTATTGTTTNGTGTAATTCAATGATCGTAGCTTTACATTTCTATTGTTTTTTTCACTTGATTCTTTTAAGAACTTTTTTATCTCTACCCTCCAATCCATTGCGTCCCCTTCTTGTATGCAATCAACTACAATCCTATTTGCCTCCTTTGTATAACGGGCAAAATTGTTTCATATTCATAAGTGAGTTCTATATCTAAAAATTTTAAGTAACCTGAAGCCGTTTGGGTTCCACTTAGTCGAACTCCTGTAGCAATTCTTGGGCGACTTCATAC